TTTCTAAATGTTCTGTTGACAGCAGAGACAGCCAAAAGTCAGCCTGCAGGGTAATATTACATGGCAGACTAACAAATAAATAAAATACATAGTTAGATTGTGTCTACTGAAAATGTAACAAAAACAAAGGCTTTGAGTCCCATGGTGCACCTGTGCTGTAGCCTACAGGCTAAACCATTCTGTGTCATCAAGTTGAAAATACTTAACCCATAAATTATACATTTGTTATGAGATAACCTTTTTCAGTGAGAGTACAGCTTGAAAAAGGCCATGTAACATCAGCAAAACAACATCCAGTAGAGAAAGAAACTAACAAATATTTTCATTATAAATTTGCAGATTCAATTCTTGATTGATGGACGATTAAAACATACAAAATAAATGAAAAAATTTAAAAATAGTAAAAGTAGCACAGTATCACGATTTCCCAAAATCCAAGTTGACATATACATGGTGGGCAAAATTTTGACCAAAACACTCGTCTCATCATGTATATACTGAAGGCTTTCATTACTACATGGTTTCCTTGGCCCCAAAAGATATAACCGTTAGTAAGAAGGGTACACATTTAACAACTTTAAAATTAATACATTATTATATCTATATAAATATTTAGTTGTATAACCACTACAAACTGTAGTATTTGAGTACTCAATGAGATATTTATCAAATGTTCTATTACATGAGAAATATACAAATGAGTTACAGCAGTTGTTCTATGCACCGGTATGACAGTATATGAAAAATGTATATCATATTGGAAATTAAAACCGGTATACCAGTTCATCCAGTATATCTCTGAACACTTCATATTAAAATTAGTTGACCAACAGCCCAAATCCTAAAGATATTTAATATCGTACAACATATTCAGATAGAAACCAGTGAATTTATGACATTGCTTAAAAGATGAAAATTCCGTTATAATTCCCAGGTCCCAGGTTTTAATCTGTATGCTCAGTAACATAACAGACTCACAACAAGGCTAAAAAAGAACAAAATGTTTTTTATGTGTTTACTTACAGGGGCAGCCTGTAATAGGAGTCTGTAGTGTTGCAGGATAAAAAATAATGCTCTCAATGGTAATATTTGTACCCTTGTGTTATTTCCTGTTTTTTCTCCTTCTTATGGTATGTGGCTGTATTAAGTCTTCCATGGACCCCTGAGTGAGTCATCTCAAAAGGTCCATGACCTGTAAGAAGGCAGGTAATGTGAGTTTTGTGGCCCTCCTCAGTGGAAGTTTTCCACTGTCTGTTATTTATTTAAACCCATTTTCCCTCTTTGAAACCAATAAAACCTCTATAACACGAATTCTTGAGAACAAATACTGACATTGGATCTGTGCAAAATAACCCTATAACCTATTATATAAACCCTCTTTGCACAAACCATATCCATTAATACAACAATCACAATACTCTGTTTTCTTATTTTTCATTTTACTCCTGATAGCAGTGCATTTAAACCACAAGAGAATGAAAGAAAGTAGATGAAAGCCTTAAAAGACAGAAGCTTTGAGAGAAATGATCAGACAGATCTGTTCCCATTGAGTGATTTTATCACACCCTAATCTAGTAAATTTCCTGATGATGGGAGAGAAGTGCTGAACCAGACAATAACTGATAGAGAGAGAGTCGAAATAACAGTGAGTAGAAGAAGAGGAGGGAGGTCTAGAGGAGTAATAAAATTTTGGAGGCGACAGGAGGGAATACAATCCATTTACAAAGTCCTCATTTATCACTCTTCATTACTCCCTCCTATATTAGAAATGGTCTGATGACCTGCCAGAGGACAAGTACTTGACCACAACTTAAAGGCATTAATTTCTGACCAAACTGTTGATAGAAGATCCTTATAATAAAGCAATATATAGCACAATATGCCACCTACACACAAATACTTGACTTTTAGCTGAATCCTAGTCAGACTCAAGAACCCCCATAATGCTAACTAGCTGCGACAATGCCAACTACTTATTCAAGCTTTATGCAACAACAGCTTGTGGGAAAATATGGCAAAAGCCGGCACTGGCGGAAACACTCTGGAGCTTCTTTTGTCTTGATAATTGGCCACCAGAATGTGCCAGTCTGTCTGTAAAACAGCTCTGCATCAGGAGCTTCTTGTTTGTTTTAAAGTCATATGGTCAAGATGCATTTCACAGAAAGCAATTTGTTCATTTGGCAACGAGTTTTAAAATCTGTTGCGTCCGCCTTGCTGAACCAATTAGTGGAAATCTGAGTAGAAATGGAGAATTCAGCAATTGTGTTGGGTTTCATTCCCGCAAGAAATAACAAATTCTGTGAGAATTGGTCGCAATGAGTAACACCTGATGTCTGAGCTTCCAGGTAAGAAGAGACAGACTGAAACCTGCAGTTAATACCTTCACATCTGTACAACCATAACGCTGTCGTCCTTGTCTGTCTGTCCTTGTATCACTGTTAACAAGTTATAGCCCAGCTGTCAGTATATGTCGAGTTCTGGATGACAGACACAGAACAAGTGAACCTAACAAGCTGCTTTGCGGTGTACCTGTATCTGGTGACATTGTAATGTAATTAAGAACAATGTGTGCATGTGCCGATGCTACTGTACAGTAAACATATAAAACAACACAATATTCGATGACAGAAAGTTGGATGTTTTTTCCATGAAAAACAAGAAATAATTGGCTCTATTTTGGGTTTAAATAATGAGAATACTTTTGACTTCAAATGCTACATTTTCCCAGTAGTTGTTCTTATACTGCATGTATTTCCTTAAGCGATATTTTGCTAAAATTAGGACATCAGAAAATTTCCTTAGGCTCTTGGCAAGCTTGGTGAACCATTCTCAAGTGCATCTGACAATCTGTATATTGAGATAGTGATTTATTTTTTCTGAGGCAGGCGTGTAGATGTACAAACTGCACGAGGTACTTCAGTATCAAAATGATGATATCCTGTGACATAAATATTTGTCAAGTGTACTGCAGACTCTCTGAGGTGTTGCAGTTATTTGATATCTAAAAACACCACTTCTCTTTGTACAGCAGATGTGTGTGCAGAGTGTGTGTCAGTGTGTTTCTGTGTTAACAAAGCCTCACATCCGTCTCCCCTCATTTTACACAGATCAATCATGATTCCCATTTACTGTGCTGGCAACAAACCACCATATCAAATTCACAAATGTACATGGATACGTATGTTTGATTACTGTAAAACTGGCTTTATGTTCTAGATAGATAGATAGATAAGATATACTTTATTGATCCCAAGCTGGGAAATTGCAGATAGATAGATTCAGAGAAGAAGACAGAATCTCACACACATATTTTTAAACAATCTGGCATCTAATCACATCTTTAAAGACAGAAAACACACCAGGAAATGGAAAATATTTTCCATTAAAATATTACAATATTTGAAGAAGGAACCTACATTGTCACTATTGAGTCATGTTTGGAGTAGCAGCCTAGTGGACATTCCTCCCAAAGACCACTAATGAAGGCATGAGGGAATGAAGCTTATGGATTGTGGCAAATCACACTGACAAAGTGCAGTGTGATGTGTAAATCTGTATTTGTTGTTTGATTGGTGACAGCACGGCTGTCAGTGGCTGCCATTACTGGCCATCTCCACTCAGGCTGCCACAGCCAGCAGTTACAGCTGCTCTCAAAGTTAATAGTTATCTGCATTCACTGGGATAGACCGACCGCCGGGAGATAGAAAAGCTATGTGTGCGTATGTGTGAGTGAGTGTCATGTCTCTCTCCATGTTTGCCTTTCAATATGCATATGTATCTGTGGGAGTGTGTGTGTGTGTTTGTGCTTGAGTGAGAAATATAGCTGAAAACTGAAGGCTTCCTTTGATGTGGGGGTGAAATTAACGCTCACTGAGGATTCTTTATGGCCTCAAAACTGGCAGTGATCAAGATGTTGCTGGGCTCCACAAGATAAAAGCACATCATAAACACACTGTTAGTGTATTTTAGCCCTGATTATAAACTGGGGCTACTCCCCAGTGGAATAAATATGTGTGCACAACTGTTGGCTTCATAACATCTATTCCCAAACAAGGCTGTGCTGTTCAAAGGTATTGGGGGCATCATGTGCACTATGCCACAAGTTAAATACCGCTAGGATACGTTTTCTATGCCAGAAACCTGAAATAAACAAGTGTTTTTTAAATGCTAATTGAGGCAATTTTTGTCAGCAAACAAATCTTTTCAGATTTGAGACATCTGACACCTTGTCATAACAGGCGGTGAATTGGTGTAATTATTGCCCGGCATCTACAGTACAACTTTGACAGTCATAATGACATAGTTGAGTTTGTAAGCCTTGTGTAATTACACTACATTACATAAACCACATTTTATTATAACTGGTGGAAAACGTGACTCTGAGGTGGCCCTGGAATGACCTACAAAACCACTGACAAACTGGCCCACACTTCACTGTTAGCAGCAGACCACACAAAAACCTGTCCTGGTTGGCACTCACTTTAGCCTCCACTCAAACCCATCACATATCAGAACTGGCAGCCCTCGGTTGTTCCCGACGCCGTCATTACAGACTCGCTCAATGAAAGGGCCGTGGCCTCTTTTTTGCCTCTTCTCTCCTTCAATTTTTTCTATCTAAAAACATCCCTTCGACCCCTCCCCTCCTCGCTTTCTTTTATTTATCACATTTTCTGCCCCACAGAAACCATTCAGAGAGGCAGAGAATCCCATCAGCCGCTAACACGGCGTGGCCAGTGGCCACACAGGAAGCTTTTGATTCCTGCTAGAATGTCCCGAGCTTTGGAAAACTGTCAAACTCAGTGGACACAATGTTGGTGTTTAAGCACAATAGCACTGCTAAAATCGATCCAGCACGCAAGGCAACTGCTGAAAACTTAATTATGTTAATGCAGTGGCTGTCCATGAATTAAACTGAGACTTTAAAGTGGTTACATCATGAAAAGTAAACTATAAAAATAAAAATTGTCCAACTAGAATGAGAATAAGAATGAGTTTCTTACCGAGTTTAGGTCCAGGCTGGTCTGCACCCACTCCTTGGCATCATTATATTCTTCCATCAGTCCCATAATATATAGTGTGTCCAGTGAGTCAATGATGGAGGCTCCTCTCAGGCCACCTGCAAAATGCATGAGATAATTGAGTTAAAGCCTGTTCAAACAGAGACACATTTCTCAGGAGAAATGTCTGAAACTCAGTGGGTAACATTTTATTTTAACCCTCCATTAAGCATTTACAATTTATTAAATGTGTTGCAGTTAATAGATGTTTATTACTTTAATGTAGTTGTATTAAATGTATTAGAACATTTAAGGTACAGATACCTGTACCTTAATATTACACGTGAAGACAAATATGACGTGATGAAGTTATGATGATATAATGAATGAATCCCTCAACACTAACAACTCCTCATTTGTTCATGTGTGTAATAATACTGTGTATCATTCTATATGGACATACAGAATATATGATTACAGCTATGTTGTGTTATAAAGCCTTTAGTCACATCTGCCTACATTATGTGAATTTATCAGGTGATTAGGGCCGAGGACCACCTGTGCCTATTGAAATGTTTCCTAGTTAGTGTTGTTGACAAATTTCTTAATTAACACTTTAAATTGTGTTAGTTTTGCTTACAACTACATTATAGTGTGTTATAAACCTCTCACAAAGTCTTTGTATGCTATTTATGAATGTCAAATGATGGAAGTTAAAATAAAGTGTTAAGGGTAAGTGTGCAAGATGAAAAGAGTTAAACGAGTTGATCCTGTCAAACTGTGGCCAATGATTGAAAAGGATTTAGTAACTAATTTGTGTTAGCACCTACTTTTTCCACTGGGGTCATTTACAGGACTTTTCTCTCTCCACATACACTAGTGTCTGCTTGGTCTTAACATGACTTAAAGCTGTTTTGTAATATGTTGCAATCTGATTAAGTGCTAAAAGCATGGTGTGTTTTGCCGTGTTTGTTTTAACGGTGCACCACAGTGATGCTAAGCTAAAGTACTTCACTCACTAATCCCTGAGGTTGTGAAAGAACCAACCCAGATGGTGTTTTTTCTTTGTAGAAAATTTCCATAACACTAAGACCAGCTTTGTGTTTACATCAAATATGTCAAATCTGAGAAAAAGAAATTTGAAAGGACTTATAAAAGCAAATGAAGTAATTCTAAGTAAGTAAGTACAGTGAATGAGTGACAATTCATTATGTACTTGACTGTTACATAAGTTATTCAAAGGTAGATAAGTACTCCAATTTAACCCCAAAACTTTAATGTTCTGATCAGCAACAGTAATTTGACAGCATCTGTGATAAAAAGTAAAACATTAAAGTCCCTCACATGCTGAGCTTCTGTAATTGCTGCAGTGATGTTGAATGATAATACTAAAACAGCTTTGTGTGGTCCAGATAAAAAGCATCTCCTCTGCAAGATAAATAGCATCAGCTACAAAGCGTCAGTCACTGTACTGTAAGATGAAAGTCAAATCATTTAGGAATCAACCACCATAGGGGAAATAAGAACTGATATATTTGATTATAGCTAACACTTAATAGCTGCTGCAGGATTACACTCTTAGTCTACGCGTTTCCTTGGTGAAAATCTGTGTGTGTACAGTTACTGTGTGTGTACGAGTGTCTGTCTTTATGAATCTCATTTGAAGCTATTCATTTCTTTTCACAAGCTAAATGAGAAATGCTAAGGGATGTTTATTCCATCCTGGTGGCCTTATGAGAAATTGCATGGCCTGTTTTTCATTCTCGTATGACCAAATATTATGCAAATGGAGCTGAACCTCGCAGAGACTGCTCAGGCACAAAGGAAAAATAAACATTATCCTTAATGAATTACTATAAAAGAGTTCAAGGGCAAATTGTGGTTTGGAAGTTTAATAACAAGAAACTGTGACTAAATAGACTGTGAATCAAACTGCTCAGGGGCTCACATTGTAGATTACTAGGAAAAATGCAATAGCGTGGAAACTGACCTGGTTAAATGAGAGAAGTGATGAAAAATCTGGATGTTCATCCCTGAGAACAACCTAGCTTACAGTAGATGGCTGGATTGATCTGATGTAACCATGCAGCAACCTGGCACATCAAAGTCTTTTTTTTTATTTATTTATTTTTTATCAAGAGTTACTGTTAGGGCTCACCAAATATGCAAATGGTAGCCATACCTTTGGGCGACAAAACACAAGTCTCTCTTTCCACGTCTTCAGGAGCTTGCTTTTATGTTGCACTAAATTATGTAGGGCTGCCACTAACATGTCTTTGAGTTTAATCAGTTAATTGTTTAGTGTATAAAATGTCAGAAACTAGTGAAAAATGCCAACCTCTAGTTCAGCCCAAAGCCTAACGTTCAATTCGAGACAGTATAACACACACACACAAAAAAGCAGCAAATCCTTATTTTTATGGAGCTGGATAAGGCAATTTGCTTAATGAATGCCTTCAACGATGAATCAATTATTCAGTCTTTGATTATATTGGCAGCTATATTTTATGTTACTTGTATATAGCAGCTGTTTTCTAATAAAAGGACAGGAAGATAATTAAGTGTTGTTGAATACTTTTCTGTTTTTTAACTAATCACTTAATTTGCTAATTGTTCGGTACTAAAATGTTGCCGTTTTAATGAGACTGTGCACTACTGCTGAGGTGTCTACTGGGATCTAAACAAATTTGAAGAAACATCAGACTCCTTCATGTTTAAGTCAGTGTCAATGAACAAATCCACTGTTCTCTCTTTTCAGGATTTTCATTCTCAATACAATATCCACTGCTGTACATATAGTACTTGCAGCTGCATTCACATTATCATGACAGCAAAACTCTCACAACCACTGACCTTTCATCTCATCGCCACAGCTTAATGGATTAGCTCATGAGGTCAGCCAGAATGCCAAAGGGCAAGTGGAACGGGGATCAATGACTTGGCTTGACTGAATGATGGGTGCCATATGCTCTGGCCATAAATCCAGCACTATTATTAGTATCAGAGGTGGGGATGAACACTTTGAAGCTCTCTATGCCTTGCAAATCACTTGCAAAGCCACATTACATCACCAGAAAGTAATTTCTTCTCATTAGCCTTTTCTCATTTTGGTACAGTAGCCCACATCAAACTTGTGGTCCTGAAAAATTAGCCGCGTCACAGCTTTGACTATTCAGTTCAAATGTACTACATATCCCCACCCTTTAAAAGCTCATCTGCCATGGTTTGACTGCCGGCAGTTCAATTCATGTTGTCAGCAAGAGGGCAGTGCTAGCCTGAAGCAAGGCACATGTAGTCTACATAACTCTAGAGGACCATCTGCTGAGGTTATTGACCGCGTCCTAGTGCACACTGTATGTAGAGTCACATGTATGTTGGTGTATGATTTCAGAAAGACTTCCTCCTTCTAATCTTACAGAGGAAAGAAATAGAGTGTATTTTCCGATGCAACTCAAACTTTGACTCTATTATTGTGAGAAAGGAGTTTTTGCAGTTTGCTTACTGAGCAGCCTTATCTCTGTTTGATGACAAATAGTGATGGCGACAACTGAGAGGGGGGGGGGGTCAGATATCTAATGCGCGCTGCTTATCCAACCCCAGAGGTAGCTCTCTGTGGCTGCAGGCAAAGCAGCCGAGTGTGGAAAATTCCTATTGAAAACAGCACCAAAGCTAAGATGATTGATTGACTGTGAGGATTGACGGAGCAGATCAATCCATCATGGTGTACTCCTTTAGCTTCCATGGTCTAAGGCCCTATTCATTTCTGTGGCCCTCTGCTACAAATGGAAGAAGCACTGAGGGATCCTCTGAAGACAGGGGCAATAGATGTACTCTATTGTATATTTATAAAGACTTGTACACACTGACATGCTTTAAGGTCTCTCTCAATTTGCATTCTCATGCATTATAATGTCCTCCACAATGCATTTAGCGGAATATGTAATTCCTAGTAAGGCTCAAAAATAAACAAACACCAAACACAATCTTTATTTACAGACTGAGAATGCATCAGATAACGACCTAACCAATAAAAATGGGAAGACCAATAATTTATTGCAAGAATGATGCCTCACACTGAGAACTGGATACATAGTTGCTAGTAGTAAGAGCTGTATTATTTTTGTTTGTACTGTGGTAATGCAGCAGTAATTTATACAAAGTGTCTGCTAAAGACTAAATGCATAACTAAATTAAAACTGCAACTAATGATTATTGCTATAAGTTATTAATTTACATTTTAGTCTATAAAATGTAAAAATGAAACCCCCCAAAAAACTACAGTGCCAAAAAACCAACAAACTCACAGATATTCAGTTTAAAAAACCAATAAATGTGGGTCTTTTATTTGTGTTATATGTTAAATGATTAGCAATTGTAAAATTGTTGTTGATACATTTTCTGTAGATTGACTAATGGATTAACAAATAGTTTCAGCACTAGTTTGAATGTTTTATATTTAAGAATAATAAATATTCTCTTAATTGTAATCCAGTATTGTAGAATAAGGACTGGAGTTCAGAGAAAAGCAGAAAGGACAGAAAATAGTAATTACCTAATATTGAGATATTATCTAACCCCTTTTAATGTGCTTGTTGCATTAATTAGATTTAATTACATTCTTGCAGCTAAAAGTGTGCATGAATACACTCACACACGCATGTCCTTTGACCATCGGTTTTAAAAGGTACAAATTAAGTGTACATGTGTAAGTGGTGTGCACAACAATGAGTAGTGTGTGTGTGTGTGTAGGCACGCAGTACAGGGAAAGCCATTAGTGAGACATTCGCCGGTGGATGTTCATTTATCATGGCTGTCACAGGCCAGTCAGTGTCGGTCAGGGGGGTTACATTAGACGGCCAGAGTCCACATGATCAATCGCTCACTGCAGCCCGTTTGTGTGTTGTGATATTATTGGCCTTGCTCTCCCTCTCTTTTTCTGTAAACGTACACACATATGCACACATATACACACACACACACACACACTACTGATATAGGTGTATTAAGATAAACCGCTCCTTCATTTAATCCCCCAGGGGATAGTTCAGAGGCAACATTTCTGCTCTAATTTCATTTAACCAGCATACTGTACAGTGTGCATGCAAAATATATGCTGATA